TTATTTTTATATTTTTATTTTTTGTTGTTTAAAGCATTACACATGTCTCCTTTTCCCCCATCGACCAATCCCCAGCCACTCCCAACCCCCAGGATTGTTTATACATTCTTTGGCTGATTCTTGTACATGCCCTGACCGGGGATTGAATCTGCAACTCTGGCATATTGGAATGATGCTCTAACCAACAGAGTTACCTTAGCCAGGGCCGCTTTTAAAGGTTTCCACTAGACCTAACACAGATGAGACTGGGCAAAGAGACTTCTATTTCAGAATTTAAAAACATCTAATCTAGCATCGCCTTCTCTAAAAGGAAAGTATGTTCATAAAAAGACAACGAAGGTCATGTCTACAGAAGGTAATTAGAAATTAAAGGCTTTGTGTAACTTTTCTTCTGTTTACTTACCACTCACAGATCTTCAAACCACTGGATAAAATTGAAGTGCTTCTAATTAATAGCTCACACAACCATATTCTCTAGGATTTGGCCTTATTTGGTTAAACTTAAGACAATACATAATTATTCTGAATGCTTTCCAGGCATAACTCTCCCTACTGGCCTTTTAAAAATTTCCATTTTTAAATGGAAATAAAATTTTAAGGTATAAATTTTACTTTGAGCTTAAGAATTCCTAAAATAAAGGATAAACAACCCCAAATCTTCTTGCATTTCCAAAATAATGTATTTTGCCATAAAAATTTAAAAATATGCATTTTTACAAGACTTGCTGATAATACCTACATCTGCAATCAAACAAAATTATTTGAAATGTATTTTAAGTTTTATTGTTCCTACTAGAACATACCTTAAATTAGAAAGAATCATAAGTAAAACTGTATTTTTAAATGCTATAATTTTAAATGCAATTTGCATAAATTAACCAAGAAAAACAATACAAAACTTAAGTCAAAACAAAGATACTCATTTTCAATCACTCAAGTGTATTTTATCATATGATATTCAACTTGTTATATACTGCTACTTTGTTTAAACAATACAAAAAATTAGTTAGGAAATGGCCAAAAGGAAAAGCAACATTAAAGTTTAGCTTAATATAAAAATTACTAGTAGTCACATAAGGTAGTCTCTGAACACTGTTCCCTCTTACACCCTGAGAATCAGAAAGCACTTACTTGTTTATAAACTGCTCCAGCCCTTGCTTCCTTTCTTCAATGAAATTGTCATCAAATATTCCATCATCTCCTCTAAAAGGAAGTTGACGCAAAAATGCTTTCCCAGGGAGTGGGGGAACTACAACCTAAAACAACACAAGGAAAGAGCGTTCTCAAACATGCTAAGTTGTGAACATTTATAGAGCACAACAAGAAGATACAGTATATCCTCACTATGACAGCCATCCCACTGTCAAACTTGTTTAAATATAAAAGGGAATCAGCAAAAAACACAATGAAAAAATATTCAATGCAAAATAGCTCATCAGAACAAAGCTCCTTAATGGCTGGGCCCCTAGCTTAATTATCACTTTTCCTGGACTTATTAGCAAAGCACAACTATACAAAGGGGACATTCAAGCAAAACTGAAATAAAAGCTGCCACACCCCTCAGACAGTTTTGATGTCACTTGGGAAAGACAACCCTTTATTCTGGTGGAAACTGCAGGGACCAAAATCAACTCTCAATTCAACAAAGAAATAAAATATTAACAATGTTGACATAGGCAGGTAAGAATTAAGTGATCAGTTTCTTCTACCTCAGACCATCCTGTACATGGTATTAACTACTTGTGTCTGAGGTGATGATAAAATAATCAACGACTTGTCACCACTTTCATTTCCTAGGCTAAGAAACATGTTAACTTTCTCCCACATCTGCTATCCTATCTTTCCCCAAAGACCTGTCATTTCTTCCTTCCCACCCTATAGTAACATCCCAAATTTTGCCCTTCAAAGCCTAACTATCCTCTAGGATCAACTTATACTGTATCTCTCTTCTGGAAATCATTTGGAGGTCAAATATTTGTTTGAATTAAACAGCAGCTAGCTAGCTCTTTATTCCACAGGTTAGTTTGGCTTCTTTATCTGAGTGTTTCTCAATCATGGCACTAACTACATAATTCTTTGTACTGGAGGAGGATTTTCTTTTGCACTATAGAATACTTAATAGCACAGATACCACGAGTAGTGCCCCTAGTTACGACAATAAAAAATGTCTCCTAAAGTGTTAAGTGTCTCCTGGGGGACAAAACTGCCCCTGTGGAGAACCCACCAATCTAGACTATTAATGCCTTCAAATCAAGAACTCTCTTAGACTACTTATGGTCATTTTAATAAAAGCTGGGCATACAAACCAACCACTTAGCTGGAACCTATCTTACACCAAAACAGAAAAAAAGGTGTAATCACACAATGCAAAGGAGAACTATAAATAGTAAACAACAATAATACAAATCATATGTATTCTAAGATGTAAAACTTCAAACCCTTGAAGCAGAGTTTCTATAACTAGGAGTTATCCTAAAACAATAATTCAACAGGGTAAAGGGAACGAGCAACACAACTTCATACAGATTAGCAAAAATAACCCTACATAATAAAAGGCTAATATGCAAATTGACCGAATGGTGGAAAGACTGGTCGCTTGACACGTACTGACCACCAGGGGGCAGATGTTTAATGCAGGAGCTGCCCCCAGTACTTGGTGTGCTCCCACAGGGGGAGCGCCGCTCAGCCAGAAGTCCTGAGCCAGGCTCGTGGCTAGTGAGCAGAGTGGCAGTGGCAGGAGCCTCTCCAGCCTCGTGGATTTCCAACTGCCAGCCTAAGCCATCAGTCGGACATCCTCCAAGAGCTCCCAGACTGCGAGAGGGTGTAGGTCAGGCTGAGGGAACCCCCAGAGTGCACCAATTTTGCGCACCATGACTCTAGTAATAAAAAATGGTAACAGCTATTATTATCTGATCAATGTATTAACTAACCTTATTGTGGTAATCATTTCACAACATATACATACATCAAATCATTATGTTGTACATCTTAAACTTCCACAATGTTATTTATCAATTATGTCTCAATAAAGCTGGGGAGGGGGGGGAATCTTCTTTCCTATAGTCATAAAAATTTCCTTTGTTTTCCAAAACTTTCCTTACTTGTTTTGTACATTTACAGATCAAAAGATCTATAATTTACATACAATGAGTTATAAATCTTTATTCCCAAATAGACAGCCAAATGTTTCAATCCCATTTACTGAATATAAATTCCTTTCCCCACTTATCAACAGTGATTTTTTGTTATGAACTAAATTTCCAATAAACACATGGGTCAGCTTCTAAATTATATTACATCCACTAATCTACTTGCCCTTCAGAACAGTCTAAAGATATGTTCTGGTGTCTGTAGGTGCTTAAGTATACATGGAAAAAAATTTCTGGCTATTTTTGAGTTTTGTCAGATTCTAAAGTTCATATATAAATTTGTAAGTTTATAAAGACCCTGACAGATACCTTTATTAGAATTTTATTAATTTATTAGAGGCCTGATGCATGAACATCGTGTAAGAGTAGGCCTTCCTTCCCCCTGATGCCAGCACTGGCTTCACTCTGGCACCTGGGACCTGGGCTCCCCTCTGGCCGCCAGCGGGCAGCCCGGGACCCGGGCTTCCCTCCAGCCGCCAGCTTCATCCAGAAGGTGGTCTGGAAGGATGTCAGGTCTAATTAGCATGTTATGCTTTTATTATTAGAGATAAATAAGTATGGATACTGCCTTTCTTCTGTCAGGTCTACTGCTAAAATGCCACTTGTAAGTGAGGCCTTCCCTTGACTATCCTATGAATAGCTCTCTCTTAGTTTAAACTTTTTTTTAAAATATATTTTATTGATTTTTTACAGAGAGGAAGGGAGAGGGATAGAGAGCTAGAAACATCGATGAGAGAGAAACACCGATCAGCTGCCTTCTGCACACCCCCACTGGGGATGTGCCCGCAACCAAGATACATGCCCTTGACTGTAATCGAACCTGGGACCTTCCAGTCCGCAGGCCGACACTTTATCCACTGAACCAAACCGGTCAGGGCTAAACTCTTAATTTAACTTGTTTTAGAACACATCACCATTTGATGTTATATATATATCTCACTATTTTTTCTGCCTTTCCCTCACCACCATCCCAATTTACCCAAGAGAATGTAAGCATCATAAAAATGGGGACATTAACTGTTCACAACTCTATTACTCAAAGAACACACTGAATGAGCTCTCAAATGTTTATAAGGTAAATAAATCTTCAAAAGTGAATTATTTGGTTGAAGCATTATCCTGTACACCCACCTAAAGGTTGCAGTTGGATTTCCAGTCAGGACACATACCGAGGTTGCAGGTTCGATCCTAGTTGGGCATGTACAGGGACAACTGATTGATGTTTCTCCCTTTCTCTCTCTCCCGCTACGCTCTTTCCTCTCTCTAAAATCAATAAACATATCCTCCAGTGAGGATTTGTTTTTTAAGAGAGAAAAAAGTGAATATTCCCAAACAAGAATGTAGTATTTCTATTTATTACAATCTTTTTTTGTCTTTCAGTAAAAAATTTTTTCCCCTAATCCTCACTGGAGGATATGTGTTTTTTAAATTGATTAGAAAGAGAAGGGAAGGAAGGAGGGAGAGAGAGAAACTGATGTGAAAGAGAAACATTGTTCAGTTGCCTTCTAAATGCACCCCAACCAGGGGTCAAACCTACAACCTAGGCATGTGCCCTGACCAGGAATTGAACCCACAACCTTTTGGTGCACAGGACAACAGTCCAACCAACCGAGCCACCCAACTAGGGATTTAAGTTTTCTTTATATTTCTCAAAAAAGCTAATCTGAAGAATATCGGCATATATAACACAAAGTATGCTAAATTCTGTTTTTTAAAAACTTTAAAAAACATATTGATTTCAGAGAGGAAGGGAAAGGGAGAAAGAGATAGAAACATCAATGATTAGAGAGAATCATTAATCAGCTGCATCCTGCATGAAACCCGCAACCCGGGCATGTGCCCTGACCGGGAATCGAACTGTGACCTCCTGGTTCATAGGTTGAAGCTCAACCACTGAGCCAAACCAGCTTGGCTTAGAAATTTTTGTTATATATAAATGTATAATGATGAAAAATGTACTTATTAAGAGTCAGTAAAAACACTGGAAATACAATGATATATGAGATGTATTGAGGAAGAGAAACTTGGCAAGGGGTATGGAGGGGAAGGTAGAATAGGAAGGAAAGGAAGCAATAGTAAGATAATGCTAAGAAGTAAGTGTTATCCAACTGTGAGTCAGCAAAGGCCTCAATTAGGCCACTAACGTAGACAAGAGAAGGAAGAGAGTTCTGAGGAAAAATTACAGACTTCCTCCATCTCCCATGAAATAAGACAAAACTAAAATATTTGAAAAAAAGAAATCATATTTGTTTTACCCGCTTTATTCAAAGTAATTTTCTGAGAAATAGTAAATATTAAAATTTGGAATGTTCTGCTTTCAAGTTGCATTACAAATAATTCTTACCTTGCTCTCTCTTTCTAATTCACTTCGCAGCCATTCAAAGTCACTGTATCTTCTTCTAACTGTAGATTCCTTCAGCTTGAAAATAGGCAGATTTGTCTGAAACAAAAAAGGTCACTTCTAAATTGAAGCATATTATAGGGACTTTCAAATAAGGAATGGTGAGATCTGTTTGTCAAATTAATAACATGGCAAACCTGGTGACCTTAAGATAAGAAAATCACAAAGTTATTAAGGTGTCATTTTATCTTTAGCAAAATAAAGCTTAGCTGTTAAAAGTATGTTATTGGTACTACAGTACACTTTCTATATGCACATTTGCACATATACTATTGGATGTCATTCTGTCTGAGGTTAGTTACATAAACAAAAGGCAATTTTTTATATTTCAGTGATTTATAAAAATGTCAATTGAACAGGGTGAATATACAGCTAGCTGATTGCAATCCAGTTTAAATAGCGCCTCAGCACATAATGCTCATTAGAGAAATAGACCTTAACTACATTGAAATGAAATACAAAATATTTTATTATTACTAGATTAGATGTTGCATAATGGAAAAAATAAAGAATTATTCTTAATGATCTTTAAAAATGCCAAAAAGTCACTCTTGACACTAGTAGGAAACCAAGAACCATACACTTAGATCAGATTCACAGATCCAGAGCTTTACAGGCTGAGGGGAAATTAACAATGGGAAACATAGTGCCCAGTACATGGAGGTTGCATCCAAGTGGAAGAAAACTTTTAGAGACTGCAAAAATCACTTCTGTCAACTTCTAAGTTAAAATAATAAGAAAGACTTCTGTTATCTTTTACTGATCCCTAAAAAAAGAGAGAACATAGTACCAAATCCAATAAAAAATGGTTTATGATTAAGGACAATTAGCGGAAGCTGTATAGCATCACAATTTTATTATCAAGAATAATTTTTTTTTAAGAATAAATTTTATGAGCCCTCATTCACTCCTGGTGGGAATGTATACTGGTACAGCCTCCATGGAAAACAATATGGCAACCCCTCTCTGGGTATCTACCCCAAAAATTTGAAAACATTTCTTTGTAAAAATATATGTACCCCTATGTTCATTGCAGCATTATTCACAGTGGCCAAGACATGAAAACAAAGTGTCCTTCGATAGATTGTTGGATAAAGATGTGGTACATATATACGATGGAATACTACTCAGCTATAAGAAAAGGTAAAATACTACCATTTGTAACAATATGGACAGAACTTGAGAATATAATGCTAAAAAAAGTAAGTCAGAAAAAGTCAAGAATCATGATTTTACTCAGATGTTGGATATAAAACTGAAAACAACAAACAGGAGGGTGGGAGTGGCTGGGGAGAAGTTAATGGGGGGAAAAGGAGACATATGTAATACTTTAAACCAGTGGTTCTCAACCTGTGGGTTGTGACCCCTTTGGGGGTCGAACGACCCTTTCACAGGTGTCGCCGTTGCCTAAGACCATCGGAAAACACATACATAATTACATATTGTTTTTGTGATTAATCACTATGCTTTTACTATGTTCAATTTGTCCTCTCTGAAATCAATAAAACTATAAAAAAAAATGAACATACAAGACAAACAAACAAAAACTCAGACACAAACAACAGTATGGTAATTACCAGAGGGAAAAGGGGGTGGGAGAGAGGTAGTAAGGTAAAAGGGATCAAATACAAGATGATGGAGATAAACAATAAAGAATTTAAAATAAATAAATAAATAAAATAATTTTTAAAACCACAAATGAACAAACAAGCTCTAGCCAGTCTGGATAGACTGGATAGACTTTTCTACGGTGTGAGAGAGAAATATCTTTCTATAAGAGAATGCAACTGGAATCAAGAATGTAGGTGATCTGAGCCCAGGTTTCTGGCTTGATCCTCAGTATGGGGCATGCAGGAGGTTGCCAGTTAATGGTTCTCTTTCCTTTTTTTTTTTTTTTGAATATTAACTGTTTTTATTTTTTTATTTATTTTTTATTTTTTAAATTTTGTTTTATTGCTTAAAGTATTACAAAGAGTATTATATATGTCTCCTTTTTTTCCCCTTCTTGACATTCCCCCGGCTTGATGGTTCTCTTTCATCACTGATGTTTACATCTCTCTCTTCCTCTCTGAAATCAATAAAACTATAAAAAAAAATGAACAAACAAGACAAACAAACAAAAACTCAGACACAGACAACAGTATGGTAATTACCAGAGGGAAAAGGGGGTGGGAGAGAGGTAGTAAGGTAAAAGGGATCAAATACAAGATGATGGAGAGAGATGTGACTTTGGGTGGTAAACACACAATGCAATATACAGATAATCACAGAATTGTATACTTGAAAGTAAATAATTTTATTAACCAATGTCACTCCAATAAGTTTAATTTTAAAAAGAATAGATTTTAAAATGCACATATCACAATGTTTGTAAGGAACAGAATTACCTAACACAATTAATGTTATATCATACTGAAAATGATACTTAATACTACAGTTGACCTTGAATGACACAGGTTTGAACTGCAAGGTTCCTATTAGGCTTGGCTTTTTTCCCCCTCGTTTTTTAAAGTATTGTTTTTGTTTTTTTAAATGTTTTTATTGACTTTTTAGAGAGAGAGAGAGAGAGAGGGAGAGTGAAAGAGAGTAATAGAAACATCACTGAGAAACATCAACATTGATCAGCTGTCTCTTATATGTCCCCTGCTGGGGGATCAAGCCCACAACCTGGGCATGTACCCTGACTGGGAATCTAACCAGCAATCTCTTAGTGCATGGGTCAACACTCAACCACTGAGCAACACTGGTCAGGCATCTTTCCTCCCAATAAATATATAGAAAAATTTCATGGAGATCTGCAATAATCTGAAAAAACTCACAAGCCTTATAGCCTAGAAATATGAAAAATATTTTAAAAAGTTAGATACAGTATGAATGCATAAAATATATATAGATATTAGTCTATTTTATCATTTACTACTATAAAATATCTGCAAAACTATTGTAAAATGTTAAAACTTACACAATTACAGACCATACATCACACCATTGGCTGTTGAGAGAAATGTAAACAAATGTAAAGATTAAATCATAACTGCATAAAATGAACTGTAGTAATACTGTGCTACTGTAATAATTTCATAGTGACCTGTTGTATCAACTATACTAGGTTACCCTAAAACAGTCATCTATGCTTCTTTGTTATCAATTCATGAAACTTTATACCTGTAAATATGAATTTCTTTTTCACAATATCTTTACGTTTTTAGTATCCAGTATGAGTAATACATGTAACATCTATACTGTTTTGTATTAGATAAGCAATATTGATGTAAGTTGTGACAGACGATTCATTGCTAAACAAATGACATGAACTTACGGTATTGATAAATACTGCCCAGTCCTGTAAATGTAGTTTATTATCCTTATGATGTTCTTAGTAACATTTCCTTTCTGCTGGCTTACTTAATTGTAAGACTATAGTATATAACATACAAAACATGTGTCAATAGACTACTTATGTTATGGGTAAGGGTTCCAGCCAACAGTAGGCTATCAGGAGTTAAGTTTTGGGGAAGTCAAGTTGCAGGAGGATTTTCAACTGCATGGGGGGTTGGCACCCCAACCGCCAGCGCTGTTCAAGAGTCAAATGTATATATTTTCAGATTATAATTGGTCCTTAATTCAACCTTTGCACTTAAAGAACTATAAACTGTTTTAGAGCTGAAAAAAAAAGTTAACTGCCACTAAAAGAAAAGACTGCCTTCTTATTTTGTATACAAATCATCATATAAAATTCACTCGTAAGAAAATTCTAATCATTTGTTAAACTTAATGCCACTGGTAATTGTCATTCAGCTAAAGAGAAGCTTTTTATTCAGGATCTTAAACCCACTTTGTAGTGGACTAAGCTTTTTCTAAAGTGTATTAACTTCTCTATGTTGTATACCTTATAGCTTGGAATCTTCTACAGATGCTATTGGGCATAACACTGTATAGATTTCAAGCATGAAACCAAATCTCACGAGAGGTTTAAAAGCACTTGAATTTTCTTTCCCAGGTAACCACAACATTTGTCCATTGTATTAATGACTAAGAGCAAATTGCACCTAACAAGACTCTTATTATACTAAAAGTCAAGCTTATATTTAGAGATGCTGGCTTGCTGTACAGAGAGGTATTCTCATTCCCCCCAGGGAATAAAATTAGGTCCCCTGGAGAGCAGGATGATAATTCCCAGAAAGAAAGCACTGGATTATTTCTCTCTAATTTCACTCATTGGCTTTTTAACCAAGTTCACCCTTCCGCATTAAAATATTAAGTCTTTGTAAGTGTCTACAGGTAGAAAGGCCTTTACAGAATTGAGTGTTTTATGCAGGTGAGATTTTACATTTTGAATTCCCTCCTCTCAAATTACTTTACAAAGGGGATTAGCTGCTCTCTTTATTCAGTATGTTAAGATCAAGCTTGTGAAAAGAGTTCCCTAAGAATTTTCATACTTCTGGGTACGGAAGTCTATAAAGTTAATCTCTGAAACAACATATCAAGCTTACAGGTACAATGTTGAGGGAAGAGTGCCAATCTGGCTCATTTTACCTCCCATTTTCCCTTTTGAACTTTTGACACAATCATGATTATATCTGATTCACTTTAATAGTAGGGGAGTGGGAGGGAGAAAAAAATCCAATCCTTTCTATGATTAGCTAATAGTTTGACAGATTATACATTAAGAAAGGATCATGGTTAGTTTAAAGAAAATTCTTTTATTTAGTTTTCTCAGCTGGCTATGATTTCTCTTTGTATAAAGACTGCCATACTTTTGATCAGGGGTCCTCAAACTATGGCCCGCGGGCCACATGCAAATACAAATATTGTATTTGTTCCCGTTTTGTTTTTTTTACTTCAAAATAAGATATGTGCAATGTGCATAGGAATTTGTTCATAGTTTTTTTTTTTAAACTATAGTCCGGCCCTCCAACGGTCTGGGAGACAGTGAACTGGCCCCCTGTTTAAAAAGTTTGAGGACCCCTGCTTTTGATAGTCACATTAAGTAATTCTTAATATTATTTGTCATTGCTTTAGAGCAGGGGTGGGCAAACTTTTTGACT